CGGGGTGGCTCCCTGCCCAGAGCCCCCTGCTCCTGGGCTTGGGGGCGGCTCCAGCCCCCAAGTGCCTGCAGGGGGCACCCAGTTTCTGGAGCCACACACATCCCGTTCCTTGGCTACCGAGGGCCTGGCCTTTCCAACGATCTCTAGATGGTTGCCCCAGTGGTCACGAGCCTGCATTTTCACTCACCAGGATGCGAGGGGGGCAGGACCGCTGATGCAACTCAAGCTGCTTCACTGAGAGGGAAAGGGGGGCAGGGGGCGTGCGGAGCCTTCTAAGAAAAGTCACCTCGCTGGGCAATCTGATCATAAATTCCTACCTGCGAAGGTCACGGGGGCGGGGTAGTCACACGCTGGGCCTATGGCGTCTTCAGTAAAGGCTTATCTTTGCTTCAAACAAGCCCTGTCTGTGCATCTAGGTTGATACATCTTTGAAATACCAGACGTATTAACTCTCAAGAGAGCACATAATCTTAACTATCCTGTGATCCAATCCTTGCCTGGCTTTCTCCCACCTCCATGCAATCTTCCTTACATTCCCTCCTTAATTTCAAATGCATAAAAGAAGGTGCAAAACTGTTATTCTTGGGGGCATTTGAACGCTTGTTCCCATCCCATGTCGTCAGTGTGACACGGACAGACTCATAAAAAATTGTCTGCAAAAAAAAAAAGTTGTCTACAGGTTTGGCCATTTCTTCCATTGACAAATGGGAAGCAAGGGCCACAGAAGCCTGAGAGTCAGGGCCAAAGCGGGGAACGGGCCACCACCTCTCCAGGCAGCTGAAACCTGCTGAAATCCTAAAAGCACAAGTCTGACCACAGCAACTTCCTGCCTCGTGGGCCATGGCTCCTCTGTGCCCTCGGGAAAAGGCGCATTTCCACCTCACCCCAAGGGGCTTCAGGATCTGGCCTCTGTCCCTCTCTTTCCCTCCACCCCCACCTCAAATTCCACCCTCCTTTGGGCCCGTTGGCCAGTGTTCCTCTGTCCCACATGTTACCTGCCATTCCTTCAGCCCTCCTCTGTTCCCTTCTCCTCCAGCTCTGACTGTCTTTCAGGTGTCAGCTGAGATGTCCCCTCCTCCAAGAAGCCTTCCTGGATCCCACTACTCATGCTCTCATGGCCCCCAGCATTTCCACCATGGAAGCACTGCACACATAGTGGGTATTCCTGGAATACTAGTCACCTGATGAACAGCTGCCGCCACCTCAGCTCTCTGCTCTCCTCTGTCCCGATACAAACCTGCCCCCCCCCCCCCCCCCCCCCGCAACACCTGCCCTGTGTTCCCTTTCTTCTCCAGTCTCTCCACTCCCTGCCCTCCCATGGTCTCTAGTCCAGAACTCCACATTTCTGTGTTTTTGCTACATTTTCTGCTCCAGGTGGGCAGCAGCTGCAGGCACAATGTCAACACCAAAGCTGGTGGTGTGGAGTGGAGCTTTAGTTCTCAGCCCAGGGGCACCTGCCCCTACAGGTTCTTAGGTGGCTTGTGAGCATCAGAGGCAGCTCCCCCGACAACCTCTGCCCCCACCTACACCATGGGGCCACATCCTGGGGACTTCTCACCTTCTCCACAGCTGGTACCGAGGGTCCAAAGAGCCAGCCCCTGGCTTTACTTCATTTGAATTGTTACAACCACCTTAAAAAGAAGGTGCCATTACTATCATTCCCCACTTTACAGCTTGGAAAACTGAAGCACAGGGCAATTTAGACATTTGCTCAAGGTCACTTGGCTCCCACCCTTCCCCCCTCCAGCTCTGACTAAAGGCTGGGCCTGCCTGAAATGTCACGTAGCGGTTAGCTTGGGACCTCCAGGGCCAGTGGGGCCTTCGCCCCATCTGCCACGACCCTCCCCAGCCTGATGGGCACTCGGGCATCCCAGGGGCCACCCTGCTCAGTTTGGAGCAATTAGTTATCCTAACCAAGGGGGAGGTGGTTAATCATTGAATTCCCACTGCAAGGATGTATGGAAAAACTAGGGCAATCAGGTTTCCAGACAAAGAGGAAAAGGTCTATCTTGGGATACCATGTGGCTTTGGCTCATGGGTGAGTAATGTTTAATGCCACTTCGGGGACTTTGGGGACTCTCTTGACATTATTGGTTAAGAAAAAACAATCCTCCTGCAGCTGAGGCATGGAGACTCATCCTCATGGGTTCAAAGAACCCAGTCCCCACTCACGGTAACAGTAATACCGAGCCCTTCTGTGCTGCACAGTTTTCTGTGTCTCACATGCATGGTCGTTTTTTATAATGACTTTCTAAGCTGATTGCTGCAACGCCCCCATTTTATAGATGGGGAAACCGAGGTCCTAGTTATCCAGCTGAGAAAGAGGCGATGCTGTGCTGGTCTCAGGAAGCTGGGGCACCTGCCACTCATACCCCACTGAGTGGGTCATGGCCTGTAAACTGGCCTGTCTGAGGGCCACGGTCTGTGGCCACTGAGCTGGGGGCAGGGCATGATCTTGAATCCTTGGCCCCAGGCCCCAGCCGGTTCCACCCCGCTCACTGGTGGAGAACGGATGCCAATCCTTCCATCTCCCTCGGCTTAAGCTCACAGCACAACAACCCGCTAAGATGTCCACGGACCCGGGCAGGTGGCACGGGTGAGCACCGAGGCAAATCACGGGCACGTGTCCTGTCTAAAAGGGGCAGCCACTCCTCAGCAGGCTGTTGCCATGTGGGAAGGTGTGCCAGGTGTGGCTAGATCTTAATGGTTTTCCAGGGAAGCCAGTAATTGCAATTTTTATATGACATTTCCCTGTATTTTAATGGTAGCAAATTCACTTAAAAATCGGTTTTTAAAAACAGCATTTTGTAGAACACTTCTGAGGGCCAGCTCGGACCCCCAGCTCGCACCCCCAGCTCCCGAACAAAGCAAGCAGGACACCCAGACGTTATACAATTCTGTATTGAGCGACGCATTTACAGAACGTGTTCCTTTTTTTTTAAATTTTAAACAAAGTTCATCAATCTCTCATAGAAACGGTTGTGTGGGCTTTCCTTTTGTTTTTACCATTACAGGACGTGACCCTGACAAAGTTGTTCGTGGGTCCACCAGCTTTAAGTACAACAGGATTTCCATGTTCGAAAGACTATGCTAAGTGCTTAATCAAATCCCGTCACACGAAAGCCAGCTTGAGTTCTTGAAGGATCGCAGCCCGTGTGTAAGCCTGGACTGCAATGGTGTGTGGGTTTCAACAGTAAAAAGTGGTGTGTTCCCCCACGGTTGTCTTAACTGCGACAGGGCGGTGGTGGCTAAAAGGAGATGTTTTATTTGTTCCAGATTTGATGACTCTGAAAATTGGTCACTGTTTCCTATTGTCAAAATATAAAAATACCTTCATCTGGATAAAAATGTATACAGTGGAAAACTCTTCAATGCATAGCCTGGGTGTATGGAAAAGGAGGTTCTCCTGCAGGGTTTGCGTTGTTCTTCATCGACGGGCGTGGAGACTGCAGCCTGCCTGGGCTGGGTGCACGAGAGTTGAGATTTCTGGAACGACCCTCCGTTGTCCCCTTCTGGTCACTGGGTTTCACTGGCCTGGCTGCGAGATGCTTGTGGCATCCCTGAAGCCCCCATCCGCCGTCTCTCCCCAGCAGTGGACTGGCACCGGTTGCGGCCACCTTCTCATCGTCATTCTGGATTCAGCTGCGGATGTGCCCAGGTCAGCCCTCCCGCAGTTTGAAAAAGGATAAGAAAGAAAAACAGGAGATTCAATACGGTGGCCATTCCATCCAGAGGGGGGACTCGCCCCCTAGAAACCATGAAGGTGCTGGAGGAAAGGCTTCTCTGAGTTGGCGGGGTTGAGTATTTGCTCCCCAAAAGGTCGTGCGTTGGAAGGCAGGAGGGCGGCCTGGGAAAGCTGCGCTGTGGCAGTCGTGCCGCGGCGAACTCGGCCTTCTCGCTGGCTCTGCACGGGCTTGGAGTTGCAGGCACCTTCCAGAGGCAGCACCGGGGTCCTCGTGAGGTGGCGAGAAGGGGAGCTGGGGTCTCCAGTGTGATGAATCGCCTTTTTGGCGCTGGGTGCTGGGCTGGCTGCTTGTGAGGTGGCGAACGCTGTTTTCTTAAAACACAAAAATGGGATGGCGGCGGCCACAGCCTGGCTCTGGAAAACCAGCGGTGAGACTTCTGCACTGTGGCCTTGGCTCAGGTTGGGGAACGGCGTCCCCCTGGCTCCAGCGCCACCCTCCAGTTAGCTAACCCCATGCCTGGCTTTCCAAAGGATCCGGAAACACACCTTGCCTACACATGGCAGGGACGAGACGGACATCCGACCCTGTGGCCCACAGGTTTCTGACCAGAGGGAGTGCGTTTTGTGCCATGTCACATCTCAGGTGGGACAGCCGGCCACGGCCCACATCTCTACAACATTTACAACAGCACGGGACATTCTGTGTTATCAAGGTTGCAAAACAGACCACCAGAATGAAACACATCCTCAATGGCATCGAGGTTTTCATTTAGAGTCTTTTGGACTTTCTCTTCTCAGCACGGTTTCTGGAAGGGCAGCAGTTACGTGCTGTGTCTCATAGACAGACACGGGGAAAAACCATGGTTCGAAGGTTATCTAAATTTTGGTCAGTCTTATAGTGTTTTGTGATGGCTTTGAACAATTGTCTTCTTTTAATCTCATCTAGTGGCAAAAACGACACAACTTCAGTGTATACTTCGCAACAGTTGTGACAGCATCCTGATTTTATAACTCTCTGTAATATCAAAACAGCATCAGCTGGGAATAAATTCCAAAGGATCCTTTATTAAAATATCTAAAAGAAGTCTATAAATATTTATTTATTTTTCTAAAAGAGTTTGGAGTTTCCAGGTGAAAATGTGGCGCCTCTTTGCTTCTGCCTCGTGAGAAAGGCCAGGGTGGAGAGGAGGGCGCCCCCTCGGGCGGGGGGTGACAAAGAGAGGGGACCGTGGCATCTGCCCCACCTGCTCACTCACAACTTACAGGACTGGGATTACAACAAAAAATGTAAACGGCAGAATATCGCTGTCCACGTCTCGGTGGCGGAGAGCCTCCCTCCCGGACCCTGCGCTGTCTGGAAGGCGGGCGAGAGGGTGAGGGTGGCGGCTGGGAGTGCCCTTGCCCGCCCTCAGAACTCCCACTCCAGCGCCTCCTCCCGATTGGCAGCCCTCTCGAGCCGGTAGATGATGCTGTTCAGGTTGGCCATCTTCTCGTGCCGCCGCTGCAGGTTGGGGTTCACCTTGGCGCTGGGGTGCAAGGCCCCAGCTGTGTCGGCAGTAGGGCTGGCACTGGGCACTTTGGCAGGGGGGGCGCCAGGTGGGGATGGGGAGATGGGAGCTGAGGAGGAGGGGACAGGTGACACAGACATCATGAGGCCCGGTGAGGAGGCAGCCGAGGGAGAGTTCAGGGACACCTCCAGGCTGCAGCGCGAGGACTCGGAGGCCGACTTAAAACTTAGGGGGTCCGGGCACAGCCGCTCGCCGCCCCTGCTCTCCTGTGGGGACTGTAGCGAGGGGCAGTCTGGGGTGGTCCCGCCTGGAGGAAGGGGCCCTGGGGCCGCTGTGGGGAGTCCATCGTTACCCGGAGGGTCGGGGTGCGCCTCTTTGGGAGAACTGTGGCCTTTGTCGGGCTCCCCTGAGTCCTGGGGCCGGCTGCCCGCCTCTTCCTCAGCGCTGTCCTCAGTCTGTTCCTGCTTAATCCTCACCTGGGCCTGGTCCGGGGCAGTCGGGGGTGTGACGCTCTCCTCGGGGCCCTCCTGCAGCTCCAGTTCGGTCACAGGAGGCTTCTGGTCCTCCGCCTCAGAGTCGGGGCTCTGCGGGGTGGGGTCTGAGTGGGAGTGGCCTGGTGGTAGGATGCCAGGACCCCCACTGGGGTCAAGGTCTGGTTCATCTTGGGTCCCCTCCACCAACATCTCCCGGCGCATCCGGGACCTGGGGCAGAGACGGCGGTGAGCGAGGGGAGGGGACGGAGAGGAGATGGCTAACCCCAGACTCACGCCACAAGAAGGGCATTTTGCACCTGCCCACTTCCCCGGGGGCTCGCTGGGCACTAAGCTCCTTCACATGCAGCCTCTTAGGAAGTCCTCTCCACAATGCTACAAGGCGGGTGCTAGTATTATCCCCACTTCACACAGGAGAAAACAAGGCTCAGAGATGTTGAGTGACTTACCCCAGGTAACACAGCCAATAAATGGCAGAGTGAATACTTAAACTCAGGACTATTGGATTCCAAAGCTCACGATCTAAACCTGCACTGTCCAGTACAGTAGCCATTGGCCATACGTGGCTCTTGAGCATTTGAAATGTGGCTAGTCCAAGTTAAGATGTGAGGTAAGGGTAAGATTTTAAAAGTTTAATACAAAACACAAAAGAAAGAAAAAGAAAAAAGTAAAAGATCTCATTAATAAAGGTTTTATATTGATTAAATGTTGAAATGGTTGTATTTGTATATATTGGGTTAAATAAAATATACTACTATAATGAATTTTTATCTGTGTCTTTCATTTTTTAAAATGTGGCTGCTGGAAAATTTTAAATGACGTATATGGCTTGCATTTTATTTTGTTGGACAGAGTATTTCTCAAAGTCAAACTCAGATCTAGTTTGTGGCAACAACTCCCTGCTTCTATCCTGAAGAGACTCTTAGACACCTGCCCGGAACGGGACACAGGCACAGAGTGCGACTTGTCCAGGTCACCACGGCACATAAGGGGGCAGAGCTGGACCAAAGTCTGGGTACCCCAAATTCTACTCCCACATTCATTTTCTCTTCATTTAAACAGCCTCTGTGCTGTGGGAGGGAAACTGAGTCTCACCCATCACGTTTCAGAACAGGAAGGGCCAAGAATGGGTCTAAGCCGTTAATTATTTTCCTATTTAGCAAATGAGGTCCAGAGGGGTCAAATGAGTCAGCCAAGGTCATCAAACAACAGGGCTTCCATGGCTTCTCTAAGGCTGTAGCCTTCTGCCCATTTATATGAATAATGAGGTGCATGTTACTGATATATAGTAATAACTGTTCTAATTATTATAAACATAATAACAATGGGTACTTATATGTACCAGGCTCCGGGCCAAGTACTTTTTGCAGATTATCTCATTTACTCTTCATAACAACCTTATGAGTGGACATTATCATGACCAGTCCCATTGGTAAACAAGACCAGGCTCAGAGAGGCACAGGGGTCGCCCCCATCAGAGCCAGCGCACAGCTCAGTTAGGCTTTGAACTAGAAGTCTGGCCACACTCTCCTGCCTCCCTGGCTCCTGCCCAGGTAGGGGATGGGGCCCCACCCCAGGATCCTGGGCTCGGAGGCACTGTGAGGGATCATCTGGTTCACTCTCCTCTCTCAGCCCCCAGTTCCACACAGGTGACCTTGTCCGCCTTGCAGGGCCTCTGCTCTCTCTCTCAACCCCACTAAAGGGAAGAACTGCGGGGACCAGGAGCAGCCCTGGAGATTCCAGATGGCTCAATGCCTGGAGCTCCATCATGAGAATTTCCAAACTGTAGGTCAAATATGAATATGAAGCTGATAGTCATTCACACTATAGTACAAATTAGTCTTTGCAATTCCTGTCCCCCCCACCCCCAATCTATTACAGGGCCACCCTGGTAATTTTTCTCAAAACATCCCGCTGTTCGCCTTTCTCAGAGTTCACTGCCGTTTGTAATGAGACAATGACAAGAGTGGTTGTTTCACAATGACCTTTCCTGACTGAATGTCTGTAAGAGGTGCGAGGGTGAAAACTTTGTTCTCTTAAGTGCCCAGAACAGAGCAGGTGCTCAGTAAACATTTACCAAATGAAATAACGTGCTCTTCCATCACTAAAACTTTTTGAGAGTAGTTTCTCTTGGGAGTGCAATTCTCTTCACTCTTCGAGGCAAACTCCTATTCACCCTTCCAAACCCAGCTCCCATGTGGCCTCTTCCATAGATGCTTCACCAGGAGGAAGACGTCCCTTTTCCCTTGGCCTCCTTTCCTCCCTGTTTTACAGCATTTGTTAGGTTGTAGTAAAGTTATCTGGTTCATGATTTTAAGTTCCTTAAGGGCAGGGACTTAAAGGTGGCTTTGAACCCCCATTTCTCCAGACCCTGGCTGAATGAATATTTTAGATAATAATGAAGTGCTCAGTTCCTGTGGGGAACAAAAGGGGTGAGGACGTCCCTATACTCCCCAGGGAGGGAAGGAGGATATGAGGCTTTAAGAGGCTACTTCATTTGATGTTTGGCAGGCTCTGGCTCTAATCGGATAACAAGCAGTTTTTACATTGTTTCACTTGATCTTTGACTCAGCACTGTCAAGTATTAGGTGTCTTATCTATACAACGAGGATGAGACTCAGAGAGGTACAGCCACTTGCCCGAAAACACACAGCCAAGGCGGGACTTGACCTCAGGTCTGTGTGAGGCCCACGCCTGGGCTGTGGAGAGAGATTTGGAGTGTCTCACTCTTCTGGGCTCCTCCTTCCTTTTCTCCCTGGGGGATCAAGAGGGCTGCTCTCTGCCCCGGGGCATGCAGATGGACTCTCCTCTCTGGCCCCACAGGGACACAGAGGCAGTTCCTGCTCAGGAAACCTGGCCGAGGCCCTGCCCCACCCCATGGGCCCTCCGGCTGTCCCACCTGTAGTTGTGGAACCAGTTGATGACGGTGTTGGTCTTGAGGTTGAGCTGGAAGGACAGGAGCTCAATGGTCTGCTGGGAGGGGTAGGGCTCCAGCTGGTAGGCCTTCCGCAGGGCCTCCTTCTCCTCCGGCGCCAGCACCACGCGGGGCTTCTTGATTTGCAGGAGGCTCAGGTCCTGAGGCTGCAGGCAGGGGCTGGGGCACTCGGAGCGGGTGGCTGGGGACTCACTGTCGGAGCCGGTGCTGATGAGGCCATACCTGCGCTTCAGGTAGGCTGGGGCGGGCACGGGAGGGAGGGAGGGCTCAGAGGGGTCTGCCTGGAGGCCCCTGGATACCCTCACCCCACCCCCAGGGGCAGCAGGAGCGGGCATGCTCCCGGGGCTGGGGCTGAACCTCGCATCAGCCAACTCCCACTCAGAGCCCTCTGCGGCCCAAACTTGGGGACCCCTCCTGGTCTCACCCTTTTCTCTCTCCTTGCTCTCCTTCCACACCGTCCTCACCCCTCCGCTGAGGCTCTGGCCTGCCCACACCTGTCTCTGAAGACTGACATTAGCCCCTGAAGTGCTAACGTATACAGAGGGCTTAGCAGGACACCTCACATACAAGAAGTGCTCAGAAAAGGGCACCAGGAGGCATTCTCTTGACTGACAGAAGCGTCACTAAAGTTCACTGAAGTCTTGTTGGGGGTGGGGGCGGGGAACCCAGCAAATGCAGCTCAACCTCCAATCATCAAAGCGTGGGCGGGGGGCCCGCTTCGGAATGGAGGATGTAGGGTATCAGGGTCTCACTTAATCCTCACAGTAATGCTGTGGGGTAGATGGTACTGACTCTTAATTTCAGATGAAGTACAATGAGGCACAGAGAGGGGCAGTAACTTGCTAAAGGTCACCAAGCCAGGAAGTGGCAGGCCAACTGCCAAACTGTCTGTGTCAATGGCCCAGCCTTGGCCCTGGCCTGCGTGCCCCTCACAGCCCGGCGGGACCTTGGGTGCTCTCTCCTCGTGAACTACCTGTCCCAGCTGGACCCTGAGCTTTTAGGGAAGCTCAAAGAAGCCCTGTGCGCAGCATGAGGTTGGGCGGGCACACGGCAGGTGCTTGCCCGCTCATGTTTTCAGGGATAAAATATTGGACAATATAAGAACCTGCAATCTCACCCCCCACCCTCACCCCCAAAAGTCATGTTTTCTGGGTCAGGTCTTGCTTCGTTGTGCAGAATCTGGGAATGGGCAAAGGGGGATCTCTCCGTATTACTCCATGTCAGGGAGTTGATGCAGAGGACGGAGGATCAGAGAGGGAGCATTTTTGGGAATGGGCAGCAGGGATGGCAAAAGATTTTCAAGTAGCTAAGGGCGTGTGGAAGGACACCGAGAGACGTGGGGGATTGGAATTTCCACGGGAGCAGTGGTAAGTATTGTCATTGCTTTCAGATATATTCCGTGGGATCGCTTTCCTTGCCGCCCCGCCCCGGGCTGAGGCCAGACCGCTGGGGCTGGGGTTTATCTGGGTTACAACCAGATGTGGTTCCAAGGGGAAAACCCGAGGCCAGACCCAAAGGGCCCGGCGCTCACCTTTCTTCTCCAGCTTCTTCATGTCCCTCAGCTTCTCCACGTTGTGGGGGTCGCTGAGCCACAGCTGCATGCGCACAAAGGGCTCCCGGCCCTTCAGGCTGAGCTTGTGCCAGGGTTTGGGCCGGGACAGCAGGTCAGACACCGAGCCCTGCGTCAGGCCCAGGATGCTCTCCCCGAACAGCCGCTGCCCTGGGGACAGGGAGGGACCCGTTACCCCAGGCCTGGCAGCGGTGCTCTGAGGAGAGGCGGGGCGGAGAACCCCGGGTGTCTCCACTAACTGACGGGGGAGCCCACACCCAGCGTGGATCTACAGGGCGCCCCTCTGCAAAGTCGGAGGCTGCGGGGCGGGGGGGGGTACAGACAACTACCAACAGACATGCTTTTTGACCCTGATGCTCTTCCCTCTTCGGGGATCCCTGACATTGTCTGCAAACTTCATGTGTACAATCACCATCACCTTGTTAGAGAGTAATTTGACAGGTTCTATCAAAATCCCAGTGTGCAGAGCCGCTGCTCCAGCTGGATTTACCCTCTGGATGGGCCTGCCCGGGACACAGAGGGGCTTCGGGACATGGGTTTCAGAGGCAGCAGGGGCTGGAAAGCACCGAAATGCCCACCAGCTGGGGGAGGAACACAGGGTGTCCTGGTCTGAAACACTCCACAGCAGTGAGAAAGAACACAGGCGGCCTAATTATTCTAATGTGGAAGGGAGGCCACCGTGTGAATTTTTAAAAAGCAAGCTGTAGGATAGTGTGTATATGCGCAATTTCATCTACAAAGGAAAAAGAAGAGACTGGTGTACATGTATTTCTTGTGTTCAGAAACTGTGTCAAAGATACATAAAACCTGGATTGTGATCGGGAGGCTGGGGGATAGATTTTACTTATTTGTTTGATCTTCATTCTCTAGGGACCCAGGTCAGAGTTGGACACGTCCTACGGGGTCTCGGGTGCGCCAGGGCTGACTGGCGCCTGCAGGCAGGACCCCCGCGCCCCAGGATCGCACTGTGGGCACTGTTCTCAAGGAGAGGGGGAGCCAACTGGGGTGGGAGGTAGCTTCCCCCCGCCCCACTGCCCCGTACCTAGGTTATTGTCGGTGAGAACCTCTTTGACCCTCTTGGTGATGGAGTACGTGTCCAGCTCAGGGGACATGGCCACAATCTCCTGGATGCCCCCAACGGCCTGGCTGCCCGAGTACACCTTCCCGCTCAGCGAGGAGCTGGAGCGTCCCTCTGGCTGCTGGTTCTCCTTGCTGCTCTCCAGTGCCAGGCTCAAGGGCTCCTGGGAGCTCTTCTCGGGCTCCGTGGGGCTAGGGGGTGGGGACGGTGAGGACCTCGGTTCGGTGGGACTGGCTGTGGGCAGAGACAGGGAAGGCGGTTACTGCAACCTGGCCTGGGTGCACCTGGGCTGCGCAGTCCTGTTTGTTAGGGCCAAGAGTGTGCAACTATCCACTTAGCAACCACCACAGTGATACCTCAGGCAGGGACCTTCCTAGGCAGGAAAACCAGCCCATGAAAGTTCACACAGTTGCAAAGTACCCCCTACCCCAAAATAGTTCTTAGTTACAGAGGCGAAAATAGCAACTTTATAATAAAGATACCTGGCAGGTCTACCACCTCAACCAAGTGATCCAAGATAACGTCACCCATCAAGGGCTGAATCAACAATGGGTGCTTCCTGACACAGTACATAGCAGATCCTCGGGTCTTGAACTTAATTCGTCCCGGAAGGCTGTTTGAGAAGTGATTTGTTTGGAAACAGGATCTCCTTTGTCACCTGAAAGACGCGTGACTGAACATACAGCTATCAGCATGAAAACGTTGTCGGGTTAAGAACTGAAGTTTTGTTTGACAACCAAGACATTTTTTTCCGTGAACAACTTGGTCGAGAACTGAATTGTTCGAGATGGGAGACGTTCGAGAACTGAGGTTTGACTGTACTGAGGATTCAGCATCAATTCTGTGATATTCCTGCCACAAGTGCACGCACGGCCCGGATCCAGGCACGAGGAAGCATCAGACGCGCCAAGTCGAGACAGTCTATAAAGGAACCAGCTTCACTGGGATTTCTTGCTGGGGCTGGATCTCTCCCTTACCAAGTGACAACGACAACGACGATGATGGCAATAATCAATAAAGCTTCCTTCTACCGAGCGCTTACTACCTGCCCGGTGTAGCTCTACGTGTTTCATGCTAATGATCTCAAGTTGCCAAAAACATGAGGAGCAGCCCCTTTCCCAGGCAGGGGGGTGGTGGTTTCTCTTTTTTCATTTTATTGTATAAACCTGTAGCCCGAATATTACAAGAACGCGTAGTCTTGTCTGTGGCGTTAACTTCTAAGATAAACACTGCCACTGGGACCTAGGCTTTCGTTGCCTGACACTGTTTCAGGTGGTGCTCCTGTTGACGCCTGTGCACCTGGTTCATTTCTGTGAGCCTGAGATGTGGTCTCGTCCTGTGGACAGACTCCCACTGTACAGACAGGCAGACTCACTGCACTGAGGTCCGGGCACGCGGAGTCTGGCCTCTCCTTGTCTTCCTTTCTGTGCGGGTGTCCTGTCCTTGAGGTGGTGCCCACTCATGGCCTGGGTGGACACCTCACCAGGGCCTGGACAGACCTGCCTGCTGGGCACCATGGGGGAGGTATGCCCCCCACCCCCGCCCCTTCTCTCCATCCTTAGGCTCTTTGACTTTGGGCAACTCTCTGGGCTTCAGTTCCCCCACCGAGGCAAAGTCCAAGCCCCGCCCGGCCTACACATCATTGATGGATTGATAACAGCTGCTCAAGGCCCTGTGCAAAGGGTTCTGAGGGTGCACGCTGGACCCCTGGGAAAAACATCAGGCAGCAATTCTGACAGGATCAGAAGTGGGGGCTCCAAGTGCACACTATTTTCTCCATTTGCTCTGGCTCCACCTAGAGGATTACACCCACTGCCAGATGCATCCCTCCCACTGAAGGGAGGGTGGGGGAGGGGATGGGGAGCAGGGGCACCGGCTGGGAGCACACTGCAGTCTTCCAGGGGAGCAATGATGGAGGCCGGGCGGCGGGCTGGAGGGGGCGGCAGATGTGGGCAGCACGGCAGGCGGCAGACGGCAGACGCACGCGCCTCTGCACAGTGGAAGAGTGAGGGCTCTCTGCGGTTCTGGGGGCTGGCAGCGCCCCTAGGAAGAGCCCTGCGGGCACTCACCCTGGGAGGCGCTAGGCTGCTGGCCCACGGCCTGGCCGAGCTGGTCTGAGAGCCACAGCTGCATGCGGATGAAGGGCTCCCGCCCCTTCTGCGTCAGCTTGCTCCAGGGCTTCGGCCGGGACAGCATGTCGCTCACGCTGCCCTGTGACAGGCCCAGCACCTGGGGATGGGCAGGGTAGAAAGGGTGGGTCTGCTGCCCCCCCCCCCCGCCCCCGACGCAGGCCATCGCCTCCCCTCCCCCTGCTCGACCCTTAGGCTCCTCGCTGCTCCCTGGGAGGCCAGGGCTGCCTTCTTTCCTCTTCATCCCCAGGTGCCTGCTGTGCGCCTGTGCTGCACCTCCCTGCAGTGCCCTTCCTGGCTTCCCTACAGGTAAAATCCCACCTAGCCGTGGAGACCCCTCGCATGCCCCCTCCTACAGGAAGCCTCCCTTCTCTGGGCTTGTCTGTTTGCCTGCTCCTCTGCTGGGCAGAGGTGATGTTAAAAAACTGCTTAACCTCTGGTGCTGCAGGGGCACCGACCAATTAGGAGACCCCTGGCTGGGCCAAACCTTAACCCTTTAGTGGCTGGACCGATGGAGGGAGGGAGTGGCCTGGAGGAGGGCGCTTGCTCAGTGGTTATTCCTCACCAGAGGAACATGCTTCGCTGGTCTAACAACCACAGAACCAAACGCCAGCCTTGCCTGTGGCCCTCCCTCCTCTTCCCACAGGGCCCAGGGACAGCTACTTATAGAAAAATGGACTTTTGGGGTCACAGGGACCTGGGTTCAAATCCTGCTTTTGCCCTGTTCTTGCTCATACACACTTTTTTCTAGACAAGCACTGGGGGCTGGGCCCTCAGCTGGCCCTCCCGCCCCGGGTCCCATGACCCTGAGCTTCCTGCCACACTCTCATGGTCTCCCGCTGCACCGTCTTCACCTTCTCCCCAAAGATACGCTGGCAGATCCCGTTCTTGGCCAGCTTCTCCTTGACCTGGCGCGTCAGCTCCAGTGTGTCCACCTCACGGTACATGTAGAGCTCGTACTGCTCCGGGGTCAGGGGTGGCACGGTGGGCTTCAGCGTGCGGGGCACGTATGCCGGGTAGTAGGCCAGCCTCCCGCTGCTGCCCGACTCGGGGACGCCCGCCTCAGCTTTCAGCTCGCCCAGTCTAGGGGGCTCGTCCTCACCCCCTGCTGCGTCGTCCTCAGGGGCCGTGGGGGCCTCCTCACCCCGGGGCCAGGCCCTTCCGTTGGGCTGGCCGGAGTAGCTGGAGGAGGAGGAGGAGAGCGAGGGCGAGACCGAGGTGTAGGGGTGGCTGAGCAGGCCGCGGTCTGAGGCCCAGTGCTGATCGAAGTAGCCGGCGTCGCCGATCTCTGACTTGACCTTCCGGATGATGCTCTGCACGAAGGCAGCGGGGGACAGGACGGTGAGGGACGTCTGTGTGGCACTGCTGCTGGTCCCCCCGCCGCCACTGCCGCCACTGCCGTCCTCCTGCTTGACGTAGGTCGGGGCCCCGTTCTGGCTGACGGCCGCCAGCGAGGGCCGCTCTGGGGGCGAGGGAGGCACCGAGCGGCCCCGGGGGCCTGCCTCCATCTCCAGCAGGGCCTGCTGCTGTGCTTGCATCTCCCGGCGGGCCTGCTCCAGAATGTTCTTGATGGCATCTTCTGAGGTGCTGGCAGAGGCTGTGCCATTGGTGATGCTCAGTGGGGCTGTCGCGTTCTTGGGTTCACCTGCAGGGTGGATGACAAGGTGGCCAGAGGCCCTTTGTCAGGACACGGCTTACAGGGCAAAGATGGTCACAGCATCAGTATTTATACCAGCACAATGTTGGAGGCAATTTATGTGTCCACCAGCTGGGGACTGGGTAAGTAGACTGTGATCTGTCTGTATGGCAGACTACGGGCAGTCTTTAAATCAGGTGCACAGTGAGATTTTAGCGTATGTGCAGAAAGCACTCATGGGGATAACACAATATCGAAAAAGACTCGTCTTTTACATATGCTATGATCCATCTATGCAAATGTCCAAAACCAAGAAAAATACTAACTCCTGCACACAAAAGGGGCTGTTTTATTTATTCTAACAGCAAAATAATAGCACAAACCCACATGCCCACAGAGAAGAGAATGGATCATAAACAGTGGTAAGTGCACACAATGGAATACTCTACAGTAATAAAAAGGAAGTCACCGCATAAAACCACACCGGTGGCTGCATGACATTGTGAATGTAGTAAATGCCACTGAATTGTTCACTTTAAAGTGGTTAATTCTGTTATGTGACTGACCTCAATTAAAAAAAGTAATATGTGTGTACTGTAGAGAGCTAAGAAAGCACAAAAAGTTAAGATGAAAATGTAAAGGTCCCCTCTCATCTCCCTCCCAGAGGAAACCACATGAAACGTTTTCATGTGTGTCCTCGGTCTGCTTCCCGGCTCCATGCTTGGGATGATCGTCCTTGATATAGGAGTGCAGCCTGGTTTGTCCACACTTCATGTCAACATGAGCATTTTCCCCTATGATCGAAAGTTCTCTTGCCCTGGCTGGGTATCTTAGTTGGTTAGAGCATCATCCCCAATTTGCCAAGGTTGCAGGTTTGATTCCTGGTCAGGGCATATACAAGCATCAACCAGTGAATGTATCAATACATGGAACAACAAACTGATGTCTCTCTCTTCCGTCTTATCTTTAATGGCAGCACACCCTACTGAAGGGATATCCCCTGCTTTACTACCTGATCCCCCCTACTATCAGACACTTAGGTCGTTGCTAGTTTGTCACCGTTGTAACAGTGATAAAGGAAAAACTTGTATAAAAATCTTTCTGCCCAATGTGGACATTCCTTTTGATTCCTAGAAGTAAGACTTCCACGTTGGCAGGCAGCTACATCCATTTGCTCCCTCGGGGATTGCCGGTCGCTCTCTGCTGAGCACTGACTGCGTCAGGGGTATGGGCCGTAACCTTGGCCTACTTCCTCCTGCTGAGCTCCTCACAGGAGGCACACCTCTGGGCTGGCCCACGCTTCCCTCTGCTGTGATGCTGCCTTTTGAACGTCCCCGCTGCCCTGCTGCCGACCCCGCAGCTGAGACAGAGCACTGCATAGGGAGTCAGGAGACCTGGGTTCTCCTTCAGTCTCTCTGTAACTGTGCGCACGGCTCGCCCTCCCTGGCTGCAGACTCTCTGTCTGTTTAGTGGGACAGTGAGATTAGACTGCTTCTCATGGTTCTTTGCACCCCAACAGAGTGTTTCATCCGCACCTGTAACCTGTGTTGAGCGCACTGTGAATGTTCACAGAATGATTGCCTCTCTCTTGCTACAGGAGTTGAGCAAGAAGAAATGGGTGTGCACACAGGAGGGGCTTGGCAGATTATATGGGGCACTGTAGGCTCCTAACAGGGACCAGGTGCAGGGAAGGCCCTTGGGAAGCTTATGGCTTCCAGCCCCAGGCAGAAGCTTGGGCATTGGGACACTTGCTCTGAGTCACCACCAGGGGGCAGCAGACACTGCAAAAGAGAGTGGGAGCATGGCAACCTGTTCTAAGTCGGCAACTGGGTTACAATCATGCTGAGCTCCACTGTGCTGGGTGCAGGGATGCAGCTCGGTCCCTGGCTGCAAGAAGCGCCCAGACCAGGGGGAGGAACAGCCGCATGAGCAGGGTCAGTGAACAAATGCAGCAATAGAGACATAATAATAGTCATGTTACCTGTAAGAAAGGCTAACCTTTCAGGGGCACCTTCTATACGCCAGGTCCCAGGCTGAGTGCCTGCCAGCCCCGGTCTCACTTGATCCTCACACAGCCTTAAGGACTATTAACACTGACCTCATTTTACAGGTGAGAAAATGGCAGCACAGAGGGGCTAAGTAAACTTGCCCAGGGTCACACAGCTAATAAACACAGGGCCAGAATGTGCAGCAAAGCACATGTGGTTCCACTGCACCAGGCACGTATATAATTTGGGGATCCAGGGAGGGGCAGCATTCAATCCACCTGTACAGGGGTGGGGGGCTGCCCAGAGGAGCTGACTTCCAAGTTGAGTCATAAAGCCTGAGGAGCTGGCCAGGCGGCAGGTGTCTGGGATGAGGACGAGCACAGTTACAAACAGTTCACGTGAGAGCCACGGAGGGACCGGGAGGGGCCTGAAGACCACAGGCCTCATGGAGGAGCTGGGGTTTCATCCTGAGGTCAGCAGGGAGCTATGGAAGGATTCTGAGCTGTGACATGACTACCTGTGTGCTCTAGAAAGAGCCCCCTGGCATCCGGGTGGAGGGGGGCCGCGAGAGTCACTGGTGAGACCAGCGAAGAGACTATTTATTACAGCTGTCCCAGCAAGTGATGATGGCGGCTCACTAGCTGGTGGCAACAGGAGCGGGGGATGGACAAGCTTGAAAAAAGCTCTAGAGGCTGAGTGTCCCCTGGGTGGGGTGGCTGACTGGCTGCCACGGGCAGTCCCTCGCCTGACCCTCAGTTTCTAGCACCATCTGTGACAGGCTCCCAGCCCTGAGTGGGTGACTTTGAAGAGGGAGTAAGGGGCGGGGGAAGACAAGGAGCTCCATTTCAGACACGTTGAGTTTGAGATGCCCGTGAGGACCCTGATGGACACACCCAGCAGTTGGCTTGTGGCTCTGGAGCTCGAGAGATGGCTCATCAAAGATATCTCTGTCCCTGTCCCTGAGACTGGTGAATATGTTACCTCACACGGCAAAGGGGACTTTGCCAACGTGATTGAAGTTAAGCCTGTGATTGAAGCCCTGCTAACAGCAGCCCTGGGAGACGAACCCAGCGCCCCCTGAGAGGCAGGAGGAAGCCAGACCAGCGTCTCCTTGGGATCAGAAGGTACAGTGCACTGACGGGGCTGACAGAGGGGGCGGGGCTCGGGCCCTGGTGAGGGTGACGAGCTCCTGTGTGACTACTGTTCACATGGCCTCCTGAAAGGTGGACACCGACCGGCCCAGACCTGGGTTGTGCTGTCAGAGCTGTGTGGTGAGGGAGACATTCTGAGTTGTGCTGTCCCATGTGGCCGCCACTTGTCACCTGTACGATGTGGCCAGTGACGCCGAAGAAGTTGTCATTTTATTTAAGTTTAATTAATTCGAATGGATACAGACATGTGTGGCTAGTGGCTTCATATTGAACAGCACGGATCTGGAGCTGTCTAGGCCTGGCCACAGACTGGGGAAGAGGCGAAGAGGGCAGAATCCCCTCTGGGCGCACGATGGGAGATGCGGGGCCGGGGCCTTGCTTCCTGCCCAGAGCAGCCCCCGGGGCCCCAGGCCTGCACCTGCCACACTCACCCCCCTTCTGTGACTCGATCTCCTTCTTGGCCTGCTCCAGGATGCTCTTGATGGCATCGTCTGAGCCCGTCTCTGGCGTGCGGATTCTTGGGGTGATGCTGCCTGGGAGAGGCAAGGAGGCATTTGCACGTTGGGGGCCAGTCCCTGGAGCTGGGTGGGATGAACGGCTGGCCTCCCCCTCCCAGGGCCGGGGAAGTGAGGGCCAGACCACGAGTGCGTGTGGCAGGACCAGGGCCGAGCTAGCCTGCGCGACACTATGGACCGACCAGTGACTCTGGCTTGAAATAATAACAGAACAATGGTGGCAGCCACCACCACAGCTCACAGTCCTCGAGCAGTTACTATGTGCTTTATACTCATGTAACACTCCCCCTTGGAGGCTGATGGGTGGGGAGGCTGAGGCTTAGGAAGCGCAAGTGAGCTCCCTGAGGTCACCCCGGGGGTGAAGGTCAGAACCGGGGCAAACTCAAGGTTTGTGAGGTCAGAGCTTGGGCCTGTCACATGGCTTAGCCTGACGGTGGTCACCAGGGCAATTAATGGAGGGTAAACTGAGGCTTCAAGGTACCTGTTAGGTTTAGTGGGGACCTGCCAGGGCAGCCGCCGGCCCCAGGAAGGAGTGAGAGGGAACGCGTTTCCTTATTTGAAAGAGGGGGGAAAGTAAGGCGCAGAAAAGCGAAGTCACTTGCCGCGAGTCACACAGCTGGAGGTGGCTGAGCCTGGCTCTGAACCCAGAGCCCCTGTTCTCAGGCCCCAGGCAGCCACCTGCCCAGCCCGGCCGGGGAGGGCCCGCAGCCCACACTCACCTCGCTGCCGCACCTGAATGGTCCTCAGGGCCAGCACGTTCTGCTCATCCGACAGGAACTGCTTCATCTTGATGAAAGGCTCCTTGCCCTTCACTGTGAGCTTGCGCCAGGGCTTGGGCCGGGCCAGGATCTCGCTGACCGAGCCCTGCGACAGCCCCAGCACGTAGTGGCCGAACACCCGCTGCCCGATGTTGTGTTTGAGCAGCTGTTCCTTCACCTGGAACGCGATCTCGGCCGTGTCCAGCTGCTCCTCCTCTGCTCCGGCCCCCACCCCAGCCATGCTGCCCCCGCCACCGTCAGCCGGCTCGAGACCCCCGGGTGGCTCAGGGCCAGGGGCTGGGGTGGCAGGGGCAGTGGGGGGCTTGGCGCTATAGAAGGCCGGGGGAAACACCAGCAGGCTGCCTGCCTCTCCCTTGAAGGCGGCCGGGGGCACCATGTGCTTAGACAGCAGCACGTCCCCTGACAGTCTCTCCCCCGAAGTCAGACTGGGGAAGGGGGACAGCGAGAAAGTCCGAGAGCTATCGGGGCCCAGGCTAGGGCCCAGCAGGGGCTGCCCAGGGCCTGGGGACAGGGGGTCTTCCGGCCCTGGAGGGGGTGGGAGCTGCGAAGGAGATGGGTAGGACTGCTCCGTGCCCAGAGAGTCCTTGATGGAATCTTCCTCCGAGGGGTCTTCCTCTAGAGAGAGATAGGCAGGCAGAGGGAGAGAGGAGAGCGAGTAAGACAGAGAAGCAGATGATGGTGGGGAGAGAGAGGCAAGGAGAGAAATAATGAGAGACACATATGAAGAAAGGGACACAGAAGAGACAGAGATAGGGAAAGAGAGGTAGAGAGACATTATGTGAGAGAGAAATCATGCGTATGAGAGAGAGAGAGATAGGGAGAGCGAGCGAGCGCATGCACAACATACATCGAGACAGAAATTCAGAGACAGGGAGGAAGAGGCAGGGGGAGAAGCAGGGAAGGGAAGTGCTATAGGCGTCCAGCGCTGACACTGTGTCTGCCAGCACCCCTCCCCCATTCTCAAATCCCGACCCTTCAAGTCTTGGTCCAAATGCCTGCTCTGGGCAGCCCTCCCTCCTGCCCTGAAGAACTTTGACTGAGCCCCGGTTACAGGCCCAGCTCCTCGCCTGGGGGTGGGGAGTTTGGATTAATCCCACCCCAGCAGGAGGGCCAGCTTTCCGGGCGCCCGTCCCACCTGTACCCGCCTCATCCATGAAGTAGAGCCCATCCCTGCCCCTCCATTTTTCAGGTGAGGAAATGGAGGCAGCAGAGTTTTGGCTGGGGCCACACAGATAAAAGGTTGTGGTGTCACTGTGTAGGGTGAAGGGGGAGGTGGCTGAGAAGGTGACTTGGGAGAGAGCAGTGTCTGCAGGCCGTACCAGGGTCTGCTGTGCGGTGACATGTGAATGCCCTCCCCGACCTGTGACCTCATCCTACTGCTCATGACAGCCTGGGGGTGCGTGGAGCCTTTGGGGGCCTCAAGGCGCCTGAGCGAGCTGTGTGTCCTTGAGTGTGCATGTGTGCATGTATGTGGACTTCCTGTGGGACAGCCGCCTGCTGGCTTAGCCAGGGACAGTGCCCGGCTCGGTGCCCCGCACACGGCAGGAGCTCAATCACCGTGTACCCCTTTCCCCATCGTCCTCCTGCCTCAAGGGAAGGCAGTGGTCCGCGTGCACGGAGGCGGCTGGAGACCCACGGCAACCCCGCCCAGCCCCTCAGCCACGATAACTTCCCCTCGCCTACCAGGGCTTGCCAAGAGGCCGGGCTTTTCCAGCAGAAATTTCTGTGCGGGGAAGAAGGCCTCCTTTGCTATGAGCAGCGAGTCCTCGGGCTTGGCCAGGCTCTGAGGAGACAAGAGGCTGGGCTGAGAGGGCCCGTGTGGGGGAAGGCTCACAGGGGCAGCCTGCCCCACGGGCAGAGAGGCGGGGATGCTCACCTGGGGGAGGCTGCAGGTGCTGGAGGCCAGCTTCATGGCTTTCAGGATGCTGCCAGGGAAAGTGGGGGCAGTGAGGCAGCCGGGCTCCTCCCGGCTTGAAAAGAGGCCCTGCGGGGGCACCTCCTCCCGTGGCTCCCCTTCCCTGACTGAGAATGACTGCCCTGCCCCCGGGACCCTGCACAGTGCGGGGCTCACTGTTGACGGGGGCTTTGGGGAGCAGGCGTGGGAACTGCTTCCAGTGCGGCCAGGAGGGGCGCTGTGCTATCCACAGCACCCGCCCCGCCCCTGCCCCCCAGGAGCTTATGTGATCAACGTACCTGCCTCCAAGACTGCCCCCCCCAGCCATCACACCACCCCCAGCAAGGCTGCCTTTCATGTTCTCCTTTAGGCAGCTGGCAATGGCCAACGACCAAGCATGACACCCAAGGTACCAGTGGCGAGAAGACAGGCACCACGAAGTGGAGTGTGGTGCGAGGGAGGAAGGCGATGAACTTTGCCGAGGGCCCTGGCCGCCTGCCCAGGGAAGAGGCCTGGCGGTCTCTGGGGCCTCGCTCTGCCTCGTACCTCAGCTCTGTTTTAATTTCTTCGTAGTCAGACTGTGCCTGGAGCTTCTCTTCCAGCTTCTAGAGGAGCAAATAGAGATGGTGAGGTGGGGCCATCCTTCTGCCGGGAGGCCCCACCCATCTCCCCTCTGCCCACCTCCTCCCCCACGACCCACCTCGATGGCCTCGGACTTGGCCGAGAGCTGCCGCTCTAGGTCGGCAATTTGGTTGGCAGAGGCCTCCTCCAGCTCCTGCAGCGAGTTCTGGAGGTGCTGCACGTCCTTCAGCAGCCGCAGGATCTCCCGGTCCTTGGAGGCTAGGGCCGCCTCAAGCCGCGGGCCCGAGCACAGCGCGAAGTTCACCTTGTCCTGAGGACGGAGCGGGGCTTTGAGGGGCTGCAGGGCTGGCCTCCCCGCACCCAAGCCCCTGTGCTGAATGCCCCAGAATGACTTGGCCTCTCTGACAGGCTGGTAGCTTTCCTCTGCCGGCCTCCGAGCCCCTGCTCAGGCTGCACCTACCAGCCTGGACGCCTCTCTCTCTATTCTTGAAACTAAAAAGGTGGGAGGGAAAGTGAGCAGGAGGGTCTTCTGGAGGAAGATGTGTCTAGACCATGATGAAGTTCAAGAACATGTTAGGGATTTGGAAGACTGCTTGGCAGCATCCACTAAAGGGGAACATACGTGCTTCCCCTCATTGGTGTATATGCGGGAGAAACGCAGGCACCAAGACACCCAGCCGATGTCCACGGCAGCCCACTGGAGACCCTCTAGATGTCTGCCAACAAGAGGATGCGGATAGGCTGTGGTATATTCTCACAATACAGTACAGCAATGAAAATGAATAATTTGCAACTATTCCACACAACATGGATGACTCTCCCAGATATGATATAGAGCAAAAGAAGCCAGACACCATGGGGTGGGGTGGGGGTGGTGTGTGTGTGTGTGTGTGTGTGTGTGTGTGTGTGTGTGTTAAGATCAGATACGAGTACAAGCAAAAACCATCTGCCTGTTAGAGATCAGGGGAGTAGCCCCTGAACGGGGGCACAAGGGGGGCTTCTTCAGGGCTCGGGATATTCTACTTGATCTAGATGCTGGTTACGGGGTTTGTTCATTTTGAAGAGTTCTGTGCGCTGTACACTTATGATGCGCACGTTTTTCCTTCTGTATATTATAAAACAAAACAGCTGTTTAAAAAGAACAACAGGAAAAGGAAATAGGTAGCTGAGCGAGGAAGTGGTGGGAACAGGGCGTTCCCAGCAGCAGGAGCAGCAGAGGCAACGGCAGAAAGAGACCAACGGGGTTAGACCGAGACCTGAGGCCATAGGCAATATCAGGGGTGGCTCCTCCTTCCTCCTCATCTGTCACCAACCCCGGGCCCCACTGCTTCTCTAGGTTTTAGGAAACGGTCCTTTTGTCCTGGATGAAGATGAAGGCGTTGCTGTTTGAAAGAACCTGAAGCCAGGCAGATTTTGAGCTCAGCCACAAATGAATCTAAGAAGCAAGATCAAAACAAAGCAAAACAAAACAGAAACCCACCGCTGCCAACCCCGGCATTCTTCCATGGAGGTAAATGACAATTAAAACAGGAAGCGGATGCCATTAACACATTAAATTAATTAGCATCGAGCGCTACTGTTGTGCTCAGAAAAGCTCACCCCCGAAACCAGCAAAGTTCCCTGTGGCTGATTAGCATGGGCTTTTGCTGGGTTCCATGGGGCTTAATTAAGAACCACCAGCAAATTCTCTCTTAGGCATCCTCATGGCCTCTCTCTCGCTCTCAGTCTCTCGTGTTCACTCTCTGTCGTGCAGACGTCCAGGCCCCCTGACACACACACTGCCTCCTGGGACGCAGACCCAGGTGGACATACCAGTAAGACACAGCACACACTGACACATGTACCTGCCCAAATACTCGTCCTGACAGGCACACATGCAGACATGCACAGGCGTCAAGGAGACACCCTCATATGGACATCAGCAGAGACACACAGATTACATACATGCTCAAAAAGACCTTATACTCTTGTGGGCAAAACCCCAGACACATAATAATAATAATAATAATAATAATAAAAATAAAAAAACAGCATTAAACATTTACTGAGCGGAGACTAGGCCAAGTACCATTTTAGGTACTTTATATATAATCCTCTCAATAATCCTATCATGTAGATCATACTTGTACAGATGAAGAGACTGAGACACAATTAGATTAAAGATAGAGTCATTTTCCAAAGATCACATTCCGATATCCAAACAGAGACAGACATACATACGGGCCTGTGCATCAGGGTGTCAGGTGAGGTTAAAATCATGTCAGCCACGTCAGGTTCATGGGTGGACATAGCAAATCATCCCGGGGACGACCTGTTATGTAAGGAACTAGGAATCGAATGCCTTGCATGCAGAGATCTGTAAGTAGGTGGACCGATTTACAAAGGAAACCCAAGGCTTTCTGAGAGAAGAGAGATGGACAGAAGGGTAGGTTGGCGTGGTTCTGACTAAATCCCTCAGCAGAAAAATGACCCCAGGACCCCAAAGGGATGCCAACCAGGAGGACAGAGAAAGATGCACTAACCAGGCTTAACACAGAGATCTCAGGGTTCACGGCAGAAGATTGTTTTTTTGTAGCACGTGGCTGTTTGGGAAACCACACTGGAATCACCTCAGCACGTTTTGGGAACCGATGGCTGAGTGTGAGCGTTAACGGGAAATCTTGTACGTTGGCCCTGCTTTGGTCCGGGTCTGGGAGGGTACAGAGCAGCACCAAGCAGCGAGACCAGTGGCCAACAGCAACACCTGGAGGCAGCTGCCAAAACTGCACCGCCGCTCTACTGACGAAACGCATCGCCCCACCAACTCCTGCCCTCTTGCAGGGCAAGCATCTGGCAATGGGAATGATCCTCTTTGGTCTCAGTAGGTTCCTGGTATTTTTGTGCAACTTGGGGTAAGGGAACAATCAAAGGAAGGCACTGGACTTCCAGTTAATCAGGACAGAAGCAGCTTGAGCTTGAAAAGTTAAAAGAGCTGGGGTTGTATTTTTACCCTTAGCTGGTGAAGCAAGTCAGAGTAATTATGTTTAACTGCACAGTGACCTTGGCAATGAAGATACTACATGCACTCTAAGCATAGAGAGACGCACACATCTGTGTGCACAATTTCACCCAGGTGCACACGATCAACCTACATATTCATACCAGAAACATGGCCTTTCTCAACATTTCCCTCTGGCTCTCCCACCATCCTTACCCCGCTGGGGCCCTGCGGGGAGCAGCAGGCCAGGCGGATGGAGCTGTTGACAGAGGCAAGTTGTTCCCGAAGACTTTCCACCTCCCGCTGGGCAGCCTCAGCTCTCTGGAGAGGAGAATGGGACATGTGGGGTTAAGGGGTGAGTGGGGCCCCGCTGGCTGTCACCCTGGCCCTCCACCATCTCCCTGCACTGTCTCAGGCATGGATGGGGGAGGCAGGGCTCTGAGGGCCTGGTGTCCTACTTTTTGGGTCTTGGACAGTGGACTTGACTTCTGGCTCCCCCAGGGTTCTCAGGATTCCGAGAGGAGTCAGAACGCCCCCAATTCACCAGGGTGGAAAGAAAGATGCTGTCTCTGTGGGACTGGCACATTTGCACACCCTTCCAGGCCACTTCTGTCCGACACATAAACGGCAGGCTTCTCTGGTCAGAAGGTGAGTTTGTCCCCAGCTCCCACGCCACCTGGTGTGGAATCCGGGATGGGGCATCAGCTGAGGTGGCTTCCCAGCCCACAAGCTGCTGTAGGCTACTGGGCAAGTCACTGCCCCTCTGAGGGCCTCAGTTTTCCTCCTCTGAAATGGGGGAAGTGGAACACAGCCACCACAGAGGCATGTTGAAATACTTCTAAACCAGAAATAGGGAGTTTATTTAATTGGGTCTACGGGGAGATTTTAACTCTTCAAACATTTCTGGGGAAAAAAGCTTGGGAGGAAGCACCTAAATGTGAACAGCCTAGCCTTGTGGCTTTGGAGAGGACTCTGTACTTTGTCACTGCCTGGCTTGTGTGACCTTGGGTGAGAGATTTCATCTCCCCAGCTTTGGTTTCCCTAGCTGCACAATGAGGATTATAAAAGCAACCATATCCTAGGGGCCGTTTTTTAAGCAAGTGATTTGGTAAAACACAACTCATTAAGCATCTTAGCCTGACACACACGAATGTGTCGATAACTGGTTAACTTTACAAACATCAACAGGGCATGTGGGATCTTGAGCCATTACTTGAAAAATTAAAACAGCTGCAGCTTTATTTTTACCCTCAGCTGGGGACACAGGCCCCACTGACTATGTTTATCTTACACACCGATCTTGGCAATCAAGATGCTATGCCCACTATGTATACACAGAGCCGCACACGTCCACTGGCCCATTTTGTTAATTCATTTTTAATGGATGTGTTTATTTGTTTATTTAGTGGTATCCTGCCTTGTTCCAGAAAAGGTTCGAGTCAGTTTTGTTTTGGGTGTAGGGTTGCAGAGAAAATGTTTTTGTTTCTGCAGTTAGGGTTTTCTGAGCAACTGTGACTGAAACTTGGCATCTGGGCTAAAGGACAAGGCCAGGAAGTGAAAATATGACTGGTGAGCTGAGAGCTCCAGAGAGATTACCTCATAGAAGGTATGCGTTTATGTTTCAAGGGGGGACGAGACCCAAGCTGTGGACACATGCCCTGGGTTGCAAAGCTGGGCTCCCAGCTCCCAGTCTTATCTTCCGGAAGAGAAGCATTTGCATTTCACATGCTAAAAACCCAGGACCCTGCTCTTCTCTTCACCACAGACACCCAGGAGGAGATCGGTGCACCTCCTGTTCTCAGAAGACCCCCTCCCACCTAACTTCCAGGGTTCCTGGTTGAGGGGCTCCTCACCCACAGCACACGCAAGCAGGTGACCTTGGGTTTCATCTCATCGCCCCAGGTGGGAAGTGGGGCAACCTGGCTGGGTCACTGCTACATAAGTTATAATATTGATCTGCTCTGTTCCAGAATCCTCTGGTTCACATTCAGGATGTTAAAAACTTAGTACGATGACATTTATTTTCTTCTCCATATTTTCTATAATGAGCAGGTTTTAGTTTTATAATCAGGAAAAATAAACATTAAAAAAATGCTTCCTGTTTAAATTACTCTAATTTCCTGCCCTGGCCGGGTGGCTCAGTTGGTTGAAGCGTCAACCCAGACACTAAAAGGCTGCAGGTTTGATTCCTGGTCTGGGCACAGGCCTGGGCTGTGGGTTCCATCCCCAGGAGGGAGGCGCACATATGGGAGGCAGCCAATCAATGTTTCTTTCTCTTTCTCGCTAGAATCAATAAACATATCCTTGGGTGAGGGTTAAAAAAAAACTAAAACTACTCTAAGGTCCCTTTTCTTTAACCTATTTGGCTGGTAAAGATCCAAAAGTCTGATGACACCTGGTGCTGGTGAGGCTACAGGGAGACGGGCCCTCTGCTGTCTCGCTGGAGGGAGTGGACACTGGCAGAACCCTGTGGAGGGCAGTTTGGCCACGTCCGCCGAATCAGAAATGCAGATACTTTCCCCTGCAATCCCACTCCGGGAATTTACCCGATATAGAGGCTCGGGATGTACGAAATGCTATCTGTACCGGGTTATTCACTGCAGTGTTACTGACGATGGTAGACAATTGGAAATAGCATCCATGTTCACCAATGGGGGTCTGGCTAGACCGGGGGGAGCTGTGTTGGCAAGCTGCAGCCGCTGCCTGTTCCTGTAAGCCCAGACCTCCCGGCACACAGCCACGCTCATTTGTTCCCATGCTGTCTGTGCTTTCGCTCTAAATGGCAAAACAGCACATTGTGACAGTGGACGTCATCTGGTCTCTGATCCTCTACAGCAAGTTTGTGGTTCCCTGAGTTAGAGGAGGGTGCGTCAGGGTATGATACTACACAGCTGTAACACAGAAGGAGCTGCTTTGTATCCAACCACGAGTGGACCCTAAGAAGTGGAGACTAAGGTTCAGGGGGGTGTGGGCAGTAGGTCATTGTTTTTGTTTTGAAAAGGGGTAAAAATAGCTCTGGAAGGAGACGTGGGGAACAGGTAGGGAGAGGGGCCTGGGGTCGGGGGAGACGGAGCTTTCTGGGAGTCCTCGTGTACTTTTTGGGTTTTGACCTATGTAATTGGATTACCTATTAAAAAATTAGCCTAAAAGTCCTATTCTTTCCCAGGTTTCCTCTGCAGGAGGACCATGCCTCCGCAGTGCCTTGAACCTGGACGCCTGTCCCGAGGGAACAGTGCCTGGGCCCCAGAGCCCCGCTCCGGGGCCTTCCTCGGCTGCCCCCAGGGAAATGACCACTTGCCCTGCCACATGGCTGGCCCCTCCTGGCCGTGCCCTGAGCTGCTGCAGAGATGTGGTGGGCCCACAGGACCTCAGACCGGGCCCACGTGGCCATGCCTCACGCCCTTCTGAGTCTGGCCCAGCGTTGCCCACCTGGTGGTAACACATCCAAAGCCAGAGGACGACAGGATCAGGGACGTCATTTACACACATGAAAACTGAGACTAGGACACGCTAAAGAGCTTGCAAGGACTCGGGCTGGGACTAGAAAGTGAGGCCCAAGGGAAGGCCGGGTCCACCTAGTGCTCAGCCAGCGAGGCTGAGATCAAGTGAGGCGGCTGGAGGAGACCCCAGGTGGGGAGGGAGGGCGAGAGGCCGCCTCAGGCTTGGCCCTCGTCACCATCCCGGCTCCTCACTCAATCTGGTTGGGAGAGACCCATGTTCCAGCTTGGCCTGGAGACAGGCACCTGCAGGCTGGGACCACTGGACACCGCTCTGCTTCCCTCCTGCTGTCCAAAGACGCCCGGAGAGGCTGCCGCCTGCTGTGCGGGCTGCCTCTCGGCTTTTGCCTGGGCCCTCTGGTCCTGAAATGCCACCCTTTTACAGTCTGGACTGATCTGTCAGCTCTCAGCTCCATGGCCCTTCCTCCACGATGTCATCCCTGACCTGAGTCTAGGTCAGGAGCCCCTTCCCTGCCTGCTGCTGCCTGGATGGCCCTATTTCTGAGGGTTCTGCCTGCACCCTTGCTCTCCCTCCCCTGGGAGCACAGGGTCCCAGATGCCTCCCGGCCCCGGCACTCTGAGTGGCATGTAGTTCGGTTAATGCCGACTGAGTGTAGCCTGGTCCTCCCAGCCTGGCCCAAGACCCCCTCCACTTGCAGAACGGGCCCCCAGCACACGCTTCCTCACCTGATTAGCTTTCTCCAGGTTGGTCATGATCAGGCCGACTTCATCTGCCCTGAGACAGAAAGGTGAGGCCCTGAGGAAGGGATTCTGGCCGCTGCCAGAGCCCCTGCCCATCCCGAGACCCCCAGGCCCTGCCCGAACCCCAGGGTCTTGACATGGAGGGCTGAGGAGGCTGCCTTCCACCCTTCCTACCGGGGAACCCAGGCCGCGGGAAAAGGGGAATGGGGCCCCAGCAGCCGGGCCGCTCGTCTCTCCCAGGGCCTCTCTCTGAAGCTGCCCACAGAGCCGCACCTCCCGGCCTTCACCCCAGCTGCGGCCACCTGCAGTGCCCGCTGCAAGAGAACAGGCCCGCACTTCAAAGCCCAGCTCCGAGGTGCCGGGCAGGCAGCCCTTTCTCAATGACCCCTGTGGTGGCCATTCGTTTATTTTGCCACCTTCCCCCTCCAGCATTTAGCGGTGTCAGGACAGGCCTCCACCACCTTGGCTGCCCCTCTGCCTGGTGTAGGGTGGGGGCCACAGAAGGCCTGTCGGGGAGCATTCGGTGACTAAAAGCCACACATGGGCTTCATGCTTGTTCAGGGTCCTCTTCTGCACAAGCTCTCCCAGCCGCCCAGAGCACCCTTCCCGACGTTCTTCACGCGGCCACCTCCTGCTCACTTTGCAGGTCTCACTCTGCAGGTCATCTCCTCAGGGAAGTCCTCCCTGACTTCCCTGGATTAACAGGGCCTACCTCTCCCTGTTATTTCCTCTTGCTGTCCTGGTTCTTCCCTTACAGTATTCACCAGGTGCCCAGAACACGGCTGGGCATACCGCAAATGCTCAGCAACGCCCGCGACTGAATGGATTTGTCATTGTGCAGAAGTCAGTGTCTGCCAGGGCCGTGTTCTAACGTTTCCTCCAGGGACCCAGCACAGCACTGGGTACATAGTATTCACTAATTAAGTGTTTGTGGAATAAGTGGTGTCTTAAATCCTGAAGAGACATTGAGCACAGAGTAATTTAAGTGACTGACACTTGGCCCTGAGGGTTGGACTGTGGAACTGGGGAGGGGAGACAGACTCAGGAGGCTGGAATGAGGCACAGGCCCCTGCCCAGTAGACCCTGTTCAGCCTGAAGCCCAGAACGTCATTTGGAGTCTGTGGTGCATAAATGGCACGATATCCAGTGAAGAGCTGTGTGCCCATGGGGTGAGGAGCAGACGGTGATTAATTAAATGGGTACCTCCGGCAGAGTCAGAAAGAGGAGGCAGGAGGCACGTCTCGGGGATCAGAGGGAGGAGGCACGTCTGGGGGATCAGAGGGAGGAGGCACGTCTGGGGGATCAGAGGGAGGAGGCAAGTCTGGGGGATCAGAGGGAGGAGGCAAGCCTGGGGGGTCAGAGGGAGGAGGCACACCTGGGAGGATCAGAGGGAGGAGGCACACCTGGGAGGGTCAGAGGGAGGAGGCATGGGTGTTCACCTCAGCAGGGTGTTCACTTACTTGGATGCTGCCTCCTCATCGTATTTCCGCCGCAGCTCCAGCAGCTCTGTCTGAGTGGCCTTTAACGCTGGGAAAAGTAAAGAGCCAGGGTGAGGCCGCCCACCCCCTGGGGGGTGGAACCCAGTCCTGCAGGGTCTAGAAGGCAGAATGAGGTCCCGGGTAGTGAGGGGAGACCTTTCTTTTTGGTTAGAACTGGTGACGGGTAGTGTTTCCTGGCCCTAGAGGAGCTTCGAGCTGGTGGGAGGCATGTGGGGTGGCCGGGGTGGGGAGGGCTGATGACTTTGTAAATCTCAGAGAACCCTGGTCAGAGGGCTGTGTGGCCCAGGGCCTGGGTATGAGTCTGCCAGCACACTTAGGTCACCCCAGGACCAGGGTAGGACCATCCACCCATAGCTCAGCCACCCCAAGGTCTGGACCTGGCAGGTGAGGGGGCTGGGGAGGAGTAAAAAATTCAACAGAGACAAGTATATGAGTATCATAATAAATGAGGGATTCCTCATAAAATTTCAGATTTCTGATTTCTCTAGGAAATTGAAGGGACTGGCCACACTGGGCCATAAAGCAGTTCCTGGCTGGTGCTCGGCAGTGGCCACCTGTTTAGATTAGGCTGGTTCTCCAGTTTGCCCCAGATCCCACCCTTCCCTACTGCCTTCCCCCATTGGGCCAGCTTGGCTGTGTGCTGGGCTGCTGAAGGGGTGGGTCTGCACCCCTGTGTTAATTCTATCTGAGGCCTCCTCTCCACAGCAGTATGGCTTCCGGGGACTGGGGCTCAGACCCCGCTGGGCAATGCAGCCCTGTCCTTCCCCTCCCAAACTCCCTTCTTGCCCTCTTGATTCTAAAACGCCGAGCCTGTGTTCGTAGTGTCAGTGCCCCCTCTTCCTCGTCCTCCTGGCCTGACAGGGCCAGGGTGCTGGGTGAGGGCCAAGGTCGCGTGCTGCGTACTTACCTGAATGTAGGACCTTGATCTTTTCCTCTGCCTCCCCCAGTCTGGCTGCCAAAGTGATCTGTACTTCTTGCAGGCCCCTGTGGAGAGACCGGGCTGCTTGCGCCAGTGTCTGGTGGACGGGCCTTGCCCGGGCTCCACCCGCCCCCAGTCCCCCTGCCCGCTCGCTGCGACCTGCAGCTCTGTCTTCCGCACAGCACAGCGTGCGTCCTTACACTCGACATTCAGGCACTCAGCTGCCCTGCTGTTTTGCAGATACGTGGCCCCGTTAGGGCCCAGTTAAGTTTCTGGCAGCATTTCTGAGGCCCCCAGCAGCCAGGAACCTTGCTTCTCTGGGCCTGTCTCCCGGTCGAGGAAGTGGGGTTTCTGACGGGGTCCGCCTCAGTCGGTGCTGTGAAGCGTGCTCAGCGTGTTACCCGATACTGTCAGTTACTGTTACTGCCCCCGGGAGGCACTCCCGCTTTGGGATGCCCACCCTGCCCATCGGGGCCCAGCTCGGGTGTAATGTAGGCAGAGCAAAAGAGGCCCTACCTGGACTAGCAGAGGGTTGAGGCAAAGCCTGGGCCTTACATCCTCAGGTTCAGAGACTCTAGGGAAGGAGCCCCATTTCCCCCTGATCTCACGTCCTGCCCCTCCGCCCCCACTTACTCCACTCCAGCCACATCCATCTCCTTGCTGATGAAGCACTCCGGCCATGTTCCTGTCTCAGGCCCTTTGCACGGGCTGTTCCCTCTGCTTGTAACACCCTCCCCCATATACCTGCAAGGCTCACTCCCTTGCCTCCTTAGGGCTCCGCTCCCCTTCTCCCTGAGGACTCCCCCAGCATGCTCCGCCCAACGCCAGCCCTCGTCTCACCCCCTCCTCCCCTGCTTTATTCTCACAACCCATTGCCATCAAACACACCATTTATTTTATTATCTTATTGACTTGTGTCTTCCTCACTAGAGAGTAAACTCTAGGAGGGCAGAGGGTTTTGCGCATTGTATTCACGGCTGTGTCTCTGGAACAGTGACCGGCATGTAATAGGTAGCTCCGGGAACATGAGGAATGAATGAATAAGTGAATAAATGAAAGGGTAAGTGTAATGACCACCATAAAACTATCCTAGAAATGCTCCAAGAATCCAGATATTATTACCACTGCACCAACTGTAAAGACACCCATGTACTGACCCCCCCCCCCACGTGAGCGCCCCTCTAGGCACGTTCAGGCAGCACCTCGTCTCACTCCCATGGCCGATCAGGCGCTGACACCCCCGGTGACGGTCAGTGCCGTGTGTCCACGTGGCTGGGCCACAGCGCCCAGTGATCCAATCACACACTCATGTGGGCGTCGCTGCGAAGTACTTTGTAGATGCAGTCAACATCTACGATCAGCTGACAGCAGTAAAGGAGGGTATTCTCAATAGCGTGGGTGGGCCTAATCTAACCAGGCGAAGGAAGTAGAACAAAATGGAGGAAGGAGTCCGGCCCTGTGACCGCAACACCACAGTTTCCAGCCTGCTGGCTGCTCTACCCGCTCAGACTTGCTGGCCTCACTGTGTGATTTAAGTCCTTGAGCTACATCTGTGAATTAATTTTTAAAAATCCTCCTGGCCCTGGTCCTGTTTCTTTGGAACACCACCTGACTGATACACCGCCATTTGCTCCCTTCACCAGGTGGGGAGACTGAAGCTCAGAGAGGCGATGTGACCTGCCCGGGGCTGGCCATGCAGCTGCGCAGATGGAGCTCGGGCCCAGGCCTGTGCCTCCATCTCCAGCGGGCATCTGGATTCCCCAGCTGTCCTGCCCAGGGGCGACTTTCTTGTCCCAGCTCCCGGCCAGGTGGGGCAGCGGTGGCCCGACCTCCGTCCCCCCACTCACTTTTGCTTCTCCGCCTCATTTCTCTGCAGCAAAGTTTCTGTCAGGAGGGCTTTGCTGGGAATGCCTGGGAGGCGGCCACCCTCGGTCAGCGTGGGCCCGGCTGGAGACGTCCCCTCTCTCTGCTCTGGAGGAAGAAACAGATGGAAAAGTACCCATTGCTGAGAGCGGTGTGACAGCCAGAGCCACTTTCTGCAAACCAGGTCGGTCAAAAGTGCTGTGAGAAGACTCGATGTCCCAAACTCGGTGTTGGAGGGAGCGCAGCTGGCGGGACCTGCCGTCCCTGGGGCCAGCGGGGTTGTGGCCACAGGGAGGGCACGTGCATGGAAGTCAAGTTCCCACGCTGCCAGCCTCACACAGCACGCCCAGGGGCTTCCTTTGCCCTCTCAGGCTTGTCCCTGCCTCCTCGGCCTCCCTATTTTTCTTTAAAGTCACGGTAAAGTACACATCGCACAAAATTGACTATTTTTAAAGTGTACAATCCACTTTAGTATATTTACTAAATATTGTGAATTTAGTATATTCACAATATTGCACTAACTCCAGAACACTGTCACCCCTAACGGAAACCTGTCCCCATTAAGCAGTCACTCCCATTTCCCCCTCCTCCTGCCTGGGCAACCACCAGTCCTGGTTTCTCTCTCTATGGATTTATGTATGCTGCACATTTCATAGAAATAAAATCATTATACCCTTTTGTGACTGGCTTCTTTCACTTATCATAATGCTTTCAAGGCCCATCCAGGTTGTAGCATGTAGCAGACAGTTCCTTTTGACGGCTGAGTCACAGTCCATCCTTTGGATATGCCACGTTTGCTTTTGCGTTCATCAGTTGATGGACATTTGGATTGTCTCCACCGTTTGGCCATCGTGAGTCGTGCTGCTAACACACACTGGTGCACACGTTTTTATTTGAGCCCATTTTCAGCTCTTTGGGACAGAGCAGAATTGCGGGGTCCCAGGGCCACTAGCGTTAGCTGGATGAGGAACCGCGACACTCCCCCTGCCCCATGGCATACCCTCAGCGGCTCAATGGTCGTGGCTTCACGCAGGGCCCATGCCAGGAGCGCCTCTGCAGGCTCATCACAGGCATTAGTGCATGCCTTTGGCCCTGAACTCGTTGTTAGCGGGGAGGGCGCTCAGGGCCCAGCCACTGAGGGTGGGGTGGTGGTTCAAGAATTCCAAAATCTGGGCTCCCGACCTTAGATCCCAGTGACAGGAAGTTCTGTCCTGGCTATTAAGCTCCTACTGTGCGCCTGGCCCCGGAGAGTAAGTGCCGAGCTGGGCAGTTTGCAGAGTGAGCCCCTTTCGAGGGACTGACAGAGTGCTCAGGCCCTGGTTAGTTCTCTCTCTCACACACACGCAGGTATGCACACACATTCCGGGAATTTTCCAGGTGCTGAGGTCATGGGAATGAACAAAAAGACAAGGTTTGACTGTCACGGTACAGAACGCCACATGTCCTCAAGGAGAGATGCAGCCCAGGGCTGAGGTCAAGAGCCCTCGGACTGAATCCCCACTTGGCCATCTGCTGCCTCTGAGACTCAGTTTCCCCATCTGCAAAATGAGGCCAACGACACCTTAGGTTGAACCAGGAGACAGTGGGATCTGTGTAAAAGGCACACCACACAGAGCAAATGCTCTCAAAAGGCAACGGTTTCAATAACTATTGTTCTTATAGAGAAAATCTAACTCCAGAGAAACCTCAAAGGCAGGACTGACAAGTGTTGCTGGGGGAGCTCAGAGGCGCCTCCATACGAGCCGGGGCTGAAGCGCTGCCAAGTCCTGGCCCGCCAGGGAGGAATGGCTGGAAGGGCACTCTGGGTCCAGGAACAGAGTGAGCAAAGGACGGTGTTTTAATCACCAGAAGTCTTTCCCCAGAAGACCCTCTCCAGGACCAGGCACATAGTAGGTGCTTGCCAGGCCTGTGGGTGGAAGGCGGGAGCTGTGAGATGGGCAGCGTGTGACGGCGGACGTTCCTGGGAAGTGACTTTGCAGCAAGCATTCACTGGACAGGCCTCAGCCCATTTTATCTTCCCAACAGGCCCAATCTGGCCCACCACCTGCTTGACAAATCACGTTTGTTGGAACACAGCCACACCCACTCATTTACATGTTCCTATCGCTGCCTTCCCGCACTATTGAGCCGTCTTTCAGGTGTGAGGTAAATCCTACTCACTCATTCCTTAGACAAGTATCCTCGCACCTGACTCTTCCTCTCTTCCTGCTTAATTATTTCCTCAAAGCCTTTCTCACCCCCTGAAATCCTATATATTTTACTGATTTACTGGTGGACAATAGATGGTCAGTGCTGTGAGGGGAGGGATTTCTGTCTGGTTTGCCCCTGGCTGTGTGCCCAGTGCCTAGGACAGTGTCTGGCTTGCAGTTCAATGAACAGAATTGAATGGTCACCAACAGCTTTCATGTGTGTATTTGCTGCCTTGCTCACGGTGATCTCCAACTTCACCTATCAGAGGTAACCACCATGCTGAATTTTGTTTATCATTCTCTTGCTTTTTAACACTTTAATCACAATATATGTACACCTAAACATATTTTTATTTCTGCTAGTTTCTTGCCTTGTCCCATCTGGGGCTGAGACAGTGCTGTGTTCGCCACGTCTGCCTGGCACATGGCCAGCCTACGTTTCCTGGCCTCCTTTGCAGTAGGTGTGGTCACACGGCTGAGTTTTGGCCAGTGGGATGTGGCTGGAAGAGATAGGGGTGCCACTTGCAGGCCTGGACCCCATAAACTTTGGCAGGACCCTCCACATTCTTTCTCGGCCTGTTGGCTGGTTGTCCACATTCACTGTGAAACTGGATGTCATATGTTGAAGACGGTAGGACTCCTGCAGCCTGAGCCACCGAGTGACTGTGTGGAGCATCCCTTACAATCCCCTTCAAATGTATTATGGCTCCGGCATTTGGGCTAGGTTGGTGTCCGCAGCAGTGAACCTCACCCCTCCCGAATCTTAACTGACGAAGTCAAGTTCCCTGTTCACCCCCTGCCCACAGCAGAGTCTGGCTGGCAAAGTGCCGCGGACTAGCTGTTTACTACGGATGTCCTGTGAGGGCCTTGCCAGTACCTTTTGGGCTGAGGAACTCAGGGTGCCTCTTCCACGACGTGTGGAGGTCTCGCCGCGGCTGCCCACTGGGGTCGAAGCTGGGGGGCTGCAGTCTGTCGTCTAGGCTGCGCGTTGCCTCAAATACAGGCACGGGGTCTGGAGAGAGAGAGAGAGAGAGAGAGAGAGAGAGAGAGGACAGGGGTGCTGGGGGACCTGGGGTCTGATCCACAAGAGATCCCTGGAGTTGCTCTGCTGGCTTAGGGACGCCACACGGATTTTCTGCTGCACAAGGGAGCGGCCTTTTCCAGGCACCGGCTCAGGGGAACGTGTGCCGTCCCCACTGGCGTGTGTGTCCTACACAGCTGGGAATAGTAATAACAATAACTGTCACCATAATTGCATTTTCCAAATTCTACGATACCATCTGGGGTGGCCATGAGGCTGTATCTTGCATGCCTCCAAGCAAAGGGAATGTCTCTGAGCGCGGACCCTGCCCTGAAATCCATCAGCCTGAGGCCAGCCTCCCCGCAGGCCTTTCCAGGTAAGGCTTGTGCGTGGCAAAGACAGACACAGACCTGCTCCTGGGGACGTGGGGCTGCTCTGAGGGCACAGGACTCCCCCAAGGCCTAGCCCAGTGCCTCCTTAGGCTGCACGGGTCTGAGTGCTTCCACCCAGTTCTCCCAGCTGCCTTCCATTCTTCACCCGCGTCTCCCTGACAGCATCCTTGCCCATCCTTGGGTGCTTCTCAGTAGTCCTGAAGGAACAGACCATCATTTTTGACTTGCGGGACTGACTGAATAAAGGCTTTTCTGGAAACGCCCACCTGGATGTTAGATGCCTCCCCATTTCCCAATAGTTAAAACTTGAGGACTGTGCAGGTCCTTCTGCCTGGAATTCTGCTCCCTCTCCCATTGTCACCTGGTGAGCACTTCCTTTCTTCAGATCTAGAACCCAGCACACCTCTTCTTCCAGGTGCCTTTGCCCAACTCCCCACCTGGGCAGCTGCTAAGAACACCGGAATAATGCCCGAGGTTGGTGTGGCATCTTCCAGGTTACACAGCCCGCCCACAGGAACAGGTTCCACCATGCTCCCAGCATCCTCTGGAGGCTGGCTTGGATCCAGCTCATTTTCATGGATGAGGAAGCTGAGGCTCCAAAAACCCAGGTGATTTGCCGAAGAGTGGAGGTGTGATTTGAGTCTGACCCTCCCTCTCTGACGCCCAGTGGGGTGACCGTTCCGACCTCCGCAGCTGTGGGCGAGTGCTAGCGCGGGCCCGGGGAAGCCAGGGCCTCCTCACTCCAGGTCAAGGGGCCTGGCTCTGGGCCACAGTCCTTTTAAAAGCTCCGGAGCTCTCACTCTTCCTGATCCTTCCACGGCTCTCCTGCCGGCATCTGCTTGGCCACTGCTCTGTGCTGGGGGCAGAAGGATGATGAGCAGGGGCCCTGGAGACAGATCCCTGGGTCCTGGTCTAACCCAGACTTGCTTCTCAGGCTTGCTGGGTGACCTTGGCAATAGATTCTCACTCTCTGCGCCTCACCATCAAAGTGCTCTCTCACGGGGCTGCGATGAGGATCCAGGCAAAGCGCTCAACATGGCACCTAGCACTGGTCAGCCCAGAACAAACGGAAGCCCTTGCCATTCCTGTCTTCCTGGGCTCCAGTCACACTTTCTTCCCTCAGGCCCTCAAATGCACCTTCTCACCCCACAGCCTTTGCACAGGCAGGGGCCTCTGCCAGGAACACCCTGCCCTCCCCTAGCCCTTGCAGCTAGTTAATGCTTCCTCATCTTTGCACCTCAGATGCCTCTTCTTCCAGGAATCCTTCCTTGACCAGTCAGTCCTCCAATATGAGCTCTCCCAGCTGCCTACTCCTTTCCTCCACAGCATGCCTTGTGCTTACCATTGTAATTGAGTTGCAAGTCCATCAAACTAATGTACCCTTGGCCGAAACCCCACAAGGCAGGCACAGGACCACATCTGTTTTTGCTCATTCACTGGACCCCTTGTGGATGGACACACAGTCTGACCCAATAAATATTTGCTGATGGAAGAAATGGGATAGCGCCTGCACATGGCGCCTTCAGGTCCGGCTGGAACAAGGTCCCTCTGCTGCTGCCCGACTGTTTAGGTGGCGGGAGGCTCGGACAGTGGGTGTTTGTGCCGAGGTAAGCAGGTGCATGGGAAGGCCGCTGTCTTCCTCTGTCAGCGCTCCCCCTGCGCCCCGCCATGAGGCAGGGCCTGCTCAGCGGGGTGTGCCATTATGTCTCCCCGGGCTGATGTAATTATACATTGACATAATTAACCCAGTGAGCGCATTAGGCAGGCCAGCTAAAAATTCATCTATAATTATTTGTTGTGTGCATGCTAATGAGTTCATCTGCACTGCCTTTGTACAACACGGACAAATTAATTTACAAGTCTGGATTTTTTAATAAGTTCAAGGAAATGCTTCCTATTGTGTTCTGGTTTTTTGAGAAAGGGAGAAAAAGGCAGCGGGCACTGCCAGGGTCAGGGGAGTCAGATAAACACGGGAGGGCGCTGCCCCCAGCAGCCGTGGAGGGCTCACTCTGGCTCTGAGGCGGAGGGAGAGATTCGGCTCTGGCTTGAGTGCTGCGGGCCAGGAGCCCTGCCCAGCCAGGTTACACCCGGGCGATAAACGATGTCACTGATGCCGTTCCCGGGTCAGGGAGGGACGTTCTGTTCTGCTTGGAGGCCCCGCAGGTCCCTCAGTGCCGCCTGCGCACTCAGTCCGGGGCGAGTGGACCTCAGGCGCCCCTGGAGAGGCAGGAGGAGTACGGCCGGGCAGGCACTCAATGCAGGCTCGGCGGCTCCGAGGCCCCGTCTTTCCCCTCATTGCTGGCTCAAGGCGGCACAGGGTGGTTCAGTTCACAGAGTCTGAAGTCCAGCTCTGGGTCCAAATCCCCTGGGGCCTTGAGTCTTAGTTACTGAGAGAGACAGTATGATTTAAGGACCTTCGGACAGTTAGTTAAGCTCTCAGAGCCTTTACTTTCTTGCCTGTACAACGGGGCTGCCCATGGAGAGTGGTTGCGAGGACTGGGCGAGGGAGTGTGTATAGGGATGTACACAGTGCTAGGTGCGTCACAGGGTTTGCTAAGTCATGATTGCTGAGAGGAGGTGGCACTCCCGGCTCCCTGGTTTCTGGGGGCTGGCTGTCTGCATGGAGACCTCCATGACGTCTCGGGACAGGGTGCAGCCTCGTATACTCTCCTCAGTCCCTGGGAGCTCCAGAATCCAACCATCCTGCTTTGAATGCTACACTGGGATGCAAAGACTCTGGCTCAGGAAGTCACACTGGGGAGGGACCTGTCAGTTTAACTCATCTAACACCCCTCACCCCAGTGCACAGATGGGGAAAAGTGGGGTCCGGTGGCTTCCCTGACGTCTGCCAGCACATTGGTAGCAGAGCTGAGATGGCCGTTGGGCCTCCTCTTCCCACACTACTCTGCCTCCTGGCTCTGCAGCTGGAGGGAGAGAATGGGGGAGGGGTTCAGATGATTCAGCCAGTCGGGCTACGACAAACCCTTACAGCCAAAGTACTTAAACATGTCATAATCCATTCACTCTTCACCACAACACTGTGCAGTTAAGTATTGTCATGTCCCCATTTTACAGATGGGGAAACGGAGGTCCAGGGAGTGTGTGAAGGTAAAGCCTGGCAAGGGAGAGCTGCTATCTCCGCTTTCCAGACGGGAAATGAAGGCTCAGAGAAGAGATGTCTTGTGCCCAAGGTCACCCAGCTCAGAAGTGGCAGGGCGGGGTGGGGGGATTCAAACCCAGGACACTGCTGCAGGCCAAGCTGCCCTGAGGTGGGGCACGGGGGACTCCTTACCGTTGGGCCAGGAACATGAGACCCTGTTCTCAGCCTTGCCTCTGGCTTGCTGTGTTACCTCGGACGAAGCACCAGATCTCTCTGAGTTCTGGGTTAAGATTCCTATTACAAGTGTATCCGGGCACACAGTCAACACTGGATGCCATCGGATAACGGCGCAGTCCTGTTGAAGTGAGCGCTCTTGGCCCTGGGCCCACCCCTTAGAGCCACAATGCTTGGGGAGGGTGATTATTAAACGCCTTCACAGCTGAACTTGACACAAGAGGGTGCAAACGTTGCGAATCTTCTTAATTCCCCAAAACACCCTCAGATAAAGGTGTTGGTGGCCTGGCTGTGACACCTGAGGGGAAAGTCCCTTAGGCTCCCTGTGGCTCCATCTCCCCATCAGTAACGTGGGGATAAGAGGGGCCCGCTGCCTGGGGCTGTGCAGGGGTTGCAGGAGCCTGCTGAGCCCCAGGATTCCCAGGACTGGCGGGCCCCAGGAGTGCATGCCCTTGTCCTTCTTATTGCAGATGGCAGCAGTGGGATGTGCCACCCACTCTTCCTTCGAGAAGAGAATCTCCCGTGAGAAGGTGGTGACCGTCTGTCTCCAGGTGCTGCACCTTCGGGCCCACTGCCGTGTTCACTCGAGGGCCACACTCGCCCGGGGCTGCTCCCAGCCAATGACAGAGCATGACGGGGGCAGCAGGGTCACTCCTGCCAATGCTGGGAGAGGCAACCCCTCTATAATAGACCGAACTGTGTCCCCCTGCCCCGCCCCGCTCCACCCCCCGATCTGTAAATCGAATGCTCCAACCCCTGATGTGGATGTGTTTGGAGATGGGGCTTTTAAGGAGGTAAATTCACATTAAGTGCGATCATAAGGAGGGATCCTACTCTGATAGGACTGGTGTCCTCACAAGAATGGGCAGACACCAGAGCTCACTCTCTGTGCACAGAGGAAAGGCCATGTGAGGACGCGGCGAGAAGGCAGCCGCCCGTGCCCGTACGCCAGCATGCCAGCAAGAGGGCTCTCACCAGAAACCAGCCCGCTGGTACCTTGATCCTGGACTTCCAGCCTCCAGAACTGGGAGAAATACATTTCTGTTAAGCTCCCTGGCCCCGCCCCCCGTCCTTGGTATTTTGTATTAGAAGCCTGAGCAGCCTAGTCCATGCTGCCTTGGGGGTCCCTGTCAGCCTGGTTAAGGCTTTCTCAGAGCTGCACCGCGGGCTGTGGTCCCTCCTACCCTGCTCCCTCCTCCTCTCCCTCCCCAGGGGCAGACCCTTACCGCCCTCTGTAGGCTCTCCCTGCCTCCTCCCCCTCTTCC